CAAGGGGAGCAGGGAGCAGGTAGTAGGACATCCCCTAGGGCTCCCAGTATGTGATAGGGGGCAAGCTGGGCTGAGGGAACCCCCTCCCCAGTGCACAAATTTTTGTGCACCGGGCCCCTAGTACATATATAAACACACACACACACACACACACACACACACACACACACACACATATATATATATATTATATAATGCCTTGCACATAGTTTGGTGTTTGCTTTGTATCCTTTTCTCAGATGGTCAGTCAGGGGCAGCCATGAGAGGAGATATAGGAAAGGCTCAAAAAACCCCCACAAAACAAAGTTTATTATACTCACAGGTCCTAGAGGCATGCACACCCTGAAGGGCCACATGGCAAAGCATCGGGGTGGTCAGGAGGCAGAAAACAGAGGCCAGGGGAAGGCTTAGGCCAGAAGCTTTGTTGGGATTTCCTGGGGAAGGGCAAGGCAGAGCAGGACATGTAAGTCAGGACTGGCTAGTTTAGTACTTGCATAGGGTTTGGGGCCATAGGAATGGTCCCTAGTTACCTGGCTCTGGGATGAGGAAATCCCAGGACTACTGTACTGCCTCCTGGGGTGCACAGGCAGCCGTGAGGTCTGGCTCTGGCTGGGTCAGTCTGCATGTCCAGGGCATGTTCCTGGCTGGGCCCTTTGCTCTCTCCAAGAATTAGCTACCTCAGGGAGGGGCAGTCTCTCCTCAGAAAAGTTTTTTAGTGTCAAACCTCATAGTATACACACACACACACACACACACACACACAATACAGTGCTCCTCAGGCAATACCTAAAATTTCATATGGAAATGTTTCAGTGATCATAGTAGGGAACCCAGGTTAGAATGGTGTCTTTGAAAAGTCCAGCCCGCCCTCAGCATAGCTGAGCTCCCCCAGAATGAACTAACTGATCCCTGACCTTTCGTGGTGACTTTATCTGTCTGAAATCTATGCTTTCCTTGCTATTGTATCCCAAGCACCTAACAATGCCTTGCACATATTCACTTATCACTTTCCACATTGATTGAGGGCCTATGATGTGCCAAGGGGCTAGTTAGTAATTGTTAAGAAAATCCTAATTGAAAACATGAACCCTGTACTGAATACACTTTGTATGCCACCGCAGATTCTCTTGGCCTCACCCAGCTCCTAGGACTTCTGCCGTTTTCTTCTCCTTAGCTGTTTCTGCAGCAATCAGCTGCCTGCCTGAGTTCTACTCAGTTCTATACTGTTCTGCTTGAGGCCAATGCCCAGATTTTGGCACCTCCCACTACTTCCTCATGTTACTTGCATAAGACACCATGTCACAGGTTAGATAAATCTGGCTTCACACACTGAGCCGGCCAGGCAACATCACAGACATTTGGGAGAGTTAACTCTGGGGGCACACTTTGCTAAGTGGCGATGGCAGAAAAATGTCTTCTCTGTCCCTCTGGGCAATGGTCTGTTCTGAGGTATGTGTTTCAGGACAGCATAAAGGAGACAGCCGCTTGATAGGAGAGGCCCTCTTGTCTCTTCATGAAGGAGTGGCATTGTCTTGTCTGCTTCCAGTCTCCCTTCCTCCCTCCCTCACTTTTGCTGCCCTGGGATTGTACCTCCCAATGAAGCATTAGTGTTTTAGTGTTGCCTCAGACTCTGTTTGCTCATAGATCCATGCCCTTAATAATACCATTTCCCGATTCTTAAAAAAAATATTTTAAAATTTTTTATTGATTTCAGAGAGGAAGGGAGAGGGATAGAAAGATAGAAACATCAAAGATGAGAGAGAATCATTGATCGGTTGCCTCCTGCACACCCCACACTGGGGATCAAGCCTACAACCCAGGCAGGCATGTGCTCTGATGGGGAATTGAACTCTGACCTCCTGGATCATAGGTCCACGCTCAACCACTGAGCCACACCAGCCAGGCCCACTTCCTGATTCTTCTGCTTACTATACCAGGTCCTCCTCTTGCTCCTTTCATTTAATTCATATTCCAAGTCACTCAGTTCAGCACCACAACTCTCCTGATTATACTTCTATTTTGGCTCCATGTCCTCATCCATCTTGGTTTATCTCAGCCCCAATATGATCTTTTGTCTGCTGTTCTAGCCTCCATTCCTTCTTTGTCCTATGGTTAGCAATATTTTTCTTTTTCTTTGGGAAATTACTCTCCTCATCTCCTTAGTTCATGTGATTCAGGTGGAGCTGAATTTCTTACAGGCCTTGGCCAACCAGTGCCGTCCATGCTCCCAGTCACAGTGATTGCCCTGCAGACAGGCACATGACTAAGTTGGCTCAAACAGAGCCAATCCTAAGCTATTTGTTAGAATTACTGAGAATTAAAAGCTATTTTTCCTCTTAGAAAGAAAGTGAGCCAGGACATGGAATCAGCCTGAGAATGAAACCAGACCCAAAGGAGAGAAATCGGGGTTGGTTTTTAATGAGGAGGTTTGAGCTACTAAATTCATTCATGCCTGAAGCTTTCTCCCTTTCATTTGTTCTTTCTTCCTTTTTAAAAGATTTTTTATTGATTTTCAGAGAGAGAGAAAAACATCGATGTGAGAGTGAAACATTGATTGGCTACCTTCTGCACGCCCCTACACTGGGATGGAGCCCCCAGTTTGGGCATGGAACCGGCAACCTTTCGGTGCATGGGATGATACCCAACTAACTGAGCCACACTGGCTAGGTCATTCCTGAAGTTTTCTACCCACAAAACGTTCAGTTTTCTGAGTGAATAAATTGTATTTTTTCCTTTCTGTCCCTGCAATTGAAGGTGGACAAACTAATACGGTTCTCTTTCTCTGTAAGACCCAGCCTCCTGGGCATTAACATAAAGACCTGGGGTACTCATCAGCAAAGCTCCCTAGAACCATGTGCTCTCTATGCCTTTCCACTACAGCAGTGGTTCTCAACCTTGGCTGCACATTAGAATCACCTGGGAATCGTTTTAAAATCCTGATTTCTGGGCCTCATCCTCCGGAAATT